TTCAGTTCTGTCTTCGACAGAGATCTATTTAAATTCAGCCATGAGAAAGTGGTGCCCAACATTGTTGACTCAAAAGTTTGCATCTGTCTTATTTATTCATTCTTTTACAACCGTCGATAGCTCAGTTGGCAGAGCGGTGGACTGTAGGCGAATGGGAAGCAGATATCCATAGGTCGCTGGTTCGACTCCGGCTCGACGGATGTTATTTTGGGAATGCTGTTTTTCCAAATTGGGCAAATTCATGAAATTCGATGCTCCCTTACTTATTAATTAGGATCGGGAAAATTATGCTTTGTAGGTTTTAAGAAGGTTACTTTCAAATGGTGCAATAGAATCAGTTTTTTAACTTTATGAGATTAATTGCATACCTTTCCCAGTTATCACGATACCAATTTCTTCTAAAAAATGAATTCGCAACTCAAACTTACAATACACTTAGGAATGAAACAATAGAGAAAAAATTTTATAGTGTGGACAAAAAATTTAGTACTAAGCAGTCAGGATTATTGATATCCTTTTTATTTTTATTTATTTTGTCAACAAAGTAGGAAAACATTATTAGTAAGAAACGAAAAAAATGTATGTTTATCGAATAACAGTTTACCTTTTGTAAATTCGTCTTCATCATCTTATTTTGCTGATGAATTTTCTATTTTGTCTTCTAAGAAATTGCGCCGATTGATTGAACTCATTTTTTTCTTTTTTAATAATAAAAAAGATGAAGTAATGAGCATTTGTTCTGATTTAGTTTTAAACTTTATTAAATTGTCTAAGCAAGACATAATAATACTTTCTTTATTTTTTCTCACTCACAAAAATTGGATAATTTTTTGAAAACAATGTTTAATGAAAAAAAATTAAAAATACTGCAGTTTCAAAAATTCGAAGTAGGAGTCTGGAAGGCATGTAACTCAAATTTTTTTTCAAAATTGTATTCCTTACGGTCCTTTATTAATGCTTTCAAATGTTTATAATTAATTACAGTCGTCTGGAGAAATCGTATATTTTTAAATACCGTGCAGCGTTTGAATTAACCGAGTTCGCTTTACAAACAAACAAAAGTTTGTTTACTTCGCGGAAGAGGGCGCGACCTCTGGTTTAGAGGTGAAGACTGGGCCACCTTTCAATACAGAATTTAGAACTGAAGCTCACCGTAAGATTTTCATTTGTATTCAAACTTGTTTGTTCTCCGCTTTATAGCTCAGTTGGCAGAGCGGTGGACTGTAGATGACTAATGGCAGATATCCATAGGTCGCTGGTTCGACTCCGGCTCGACGGAATGTTTATTTTTTCTGATAATTTCAATCAATCTTCGAAACTGAGGTTGTTGGTATGCGTGTTTGATATAGCTGAAAATGATCTATCTACTTACTATATTATTCTGGGTGCATCTGAATTTCATTTTTGATTTTGGAGCTTCATCTAAAAAGCTTCTAAAAATTAAAGATTTTAAACATTTCACTTGGTTTATAGTAGTCATTTGCTGAATTCTTCAGTTTTATCTATCATCTTTCAACAGCTTATTATGATCAGAAACTTCAATTGGAAATTACTTCATAGGATAGCTTTAATTCTAAATTATTGATGTAAAATATAAAAATAACAACTAATTAAAACAACTTTGTAAGTTCAAATTTTACTGATATAACTAAATCATTTTAACTAATCAGTTAGGCAAACCAGTTGGTCGCCGAAGGCGGCTAGTATGAAACAAAATTGGCGAGATCGGTCCAGTGGTTGGGCTGGAGTACTCGTTCTTTGGTTTTGCAAATTATTTTAAATACAGTAAAACCTCTGTTAACTGAACTCGGGTCAACCGAAACACGGGTTATCTGAAATCGCAAATCCAAAAAACACGTTCTGTAAAGCACGGAAATAATTGCAAAGGCGAAATTTTTTTGCAACGATATTCCACTTTTTCCTTTTAAGCCTCTCCAAAAAAGGTCAGTGATCAATTTCGGAATTATAAAATTAAAATTAATGGGTATTAATATTAATTATCTTTATTTTTTTTTTTTTACCTGCGCCTGTCAGGCGCATTGCACCTGAACTCGCAGGTGCGAATATTACGCCGGACCAGTGACGAAACTAGGCATTTGGGCGCCCGGGGCAAAATCTGCGATTAGCGCCCTCTACACCTACCCCCAACACCAACAAACAACACATAGATTAGTTTGCTTAAAGTCTTAATTAAAATCTACCTTTCTATACTGAAAAATGGCTAACACTAATTAATATGTTTGTAAGTATTTAATAAAGAAAGAAAACCAGTGGGAATAGCCTCCCCTAAACTTTCTCGTATACTGTTCAAAAATTTGTCATTTCCCCTCCCCTTGCTTGGATAAAAAAATCGAACCTACTGTAATCCAGAATGCAACGAATATCAGAAGGTTTTTCATTGCAGATTATAATTATTGTAAAATATTTAAGTGAAGAATCATATTAAAAGAGATGCCAATGTATTAAAACTTAGCAATATTTATTTTCCATCACACTCCAGCAAGTTCCGCTATTATACGAGCGAGCGAAAACAAAACAGGAGATAAAACATATCTATCACAAACTCCGTCTGAAGGACAAAGTGACGTAATCCTCCCGCTTGGTACCAGAGATTACTAAGTACGCATGCGCATGGAGATCAGTTTTGAAACGAATGCTTA